ATATATATATATATAATAAGTCTATCTGAATTCCCTTAAAAAAAAGTCTATCTGAATTAACTAAAAATAGTTAGGGCTAATATGATTAAAGATCATAGTTATGTAAGTTTTTAGTGTGTATCATAGACAACATGGATTTGTATAAAAAGTTTTTTTCTTCTTAAAATCTATTAACAAAAATATTATAATATATGCAGAAAAATGATAAAATATCTTGAAATTGATACTTAACCCGGATCCCATGCATGATCTATTTGGTCACATTCTTTAACGAATCTAATTATTTGTGTTTCTTTCAAAACAGGAAATAAGCTTATAATAATTATTTATATAGGTTCAACATATACCCATTTTTAATACCAAGATTTTTCCTACCTGAGGCATCAAATAAAAATAATAATATAATAATAGTATAAATATTATTTTCTATTATTATAACAAATATCACATATGATAGATATTATGTCTCATCGTTTAATCATAAAATAATTAAAGATTTTTTCTTATTAATCGAATATAACTTTTTTCCAACTGTCTAATTGTCATTGATAAGTGGATGATTGTATATTATCGGATAGGATTGAATATCTAATGGTTATACATGTGGAACCATTTTGAGAAATGTGAGGGGAACTCTTTAATTTATGTATTCAACTATTTATACAGTATTCAATAATTTATGTGTGTTGACCTTTAACCAAACAAAGCATGTTAGATTTCTTATTGATATAGGATCTCTAAACCATACATTTTTAAGATGTGTCGATGTGGTGATGAATTCGTAAATTAGATGTTGGTTCATGGTGGGGATGATCCTCCCAGGTTAGGGAATAGGCCAAAACGTACGAATAGCAGACAAGTCATTCAATGCATCAAATAGCTAAAGTGGATAGTGGATAAGCAAGCACTAAAGTTCAAATATGATTTTGGAACTTCATAATAAACCTTGGGTTTGCAACGCGGGATCACAGAAGAGACCGTTCACGTTTGATATGGTAGTGTTATTGGACACATTATTTAGACTGTCATATAATGTTTTATTTTGACAATATAGTGATGGAAAATTGAAGATTTTGAGCCTGATAACCAGAAAAATTCGTTGAACAGTATTTTTAAAAAAATTATCACGTAATAGGACACACTTTATTGTAATATAATAAATATTAATAAAAACTATTTTTAGTTCCTATATATCAATATATATATTAACAAATTTATTTTTATAATTATTAAAAAGTGTAAATATAAATTATAACGATACATAATATATATTATTAAATTTTATTTAAAATCAATATTAAAATATTATGTGAGTATATGACAAAATAAATTATATATATATATATATATATTATATCTATAATGATAGTTTTTATATATTATTATATTGATATTTCTTATAACGAGTAAAAATTATTCGAAAAAAATTATGAAAAAATTATAGAATATAGTAGCTAGATATAACGGTGAAGTTGAATACTGTCATGCCTACTGCATGCAAAATTACATGATTTAGACAACTTTTACAATAATTATAGTTTGAAGACGCTCAAGATAGTAAGCTTATTTGTAACAATCAAGACAGTCTTTATATTGCATCTAATTCAATCTTTTATAAATAGATTAATCACATAGATAAATCGTTATTTTATAAGGGAAAAATTGCTCTCAGACAAAATCATCACCAACTTTGTTAGTTCCAATGACCAATTAATAGATATATTCACTAAATTTCTCAAGGGGTCCCATGTTGATTGCATTTGAAACAAGTTTGGTTCATATGATATGTATGCCCCAACTTGGCATGAAAATGTGTAAAACTAAAAATTAGGGATTACATATCCTTTTCATAATTTTTTTTCCGGATTTCTTTAATTATAATTCATTATAAATAAAGTATAATATGTGTACACAATTATGGCAATTCTCCTTAACTATTTATATGTAATCGACTTCCAAACTCAAAAAATCAAATATAGAATCAAATATATTTTGCTTAACAAAGTATGTATATTTTATTTTAATGGATACTAAAATCATTTATTATTATTGTTATAAAAATTGAAAGAACATTTTTATTTATTATTTTTTTTACTCGATAGGAATGACTTCATGTTTCTACACATTTCCATGTGCAATAGAAAATTAGAGCCATGTAATTTTTTGGTAGAAAATATTTGTATAAACTTTTTAATTTATTTTTTTTTATAGATAACTTTTATATTTGTTAGATTTATGAATTGTCACAATTCATATATTCTAAATTATAAAGTTAATAGATGTGTACACTTAAGTCAATCCATTCAAATATTTTAATTATTAATTATTATTATTATAGAAGGATCATAAAAATTAATCAAAGGAGAAATTCAAATATATCTAACCACTATAGTTCGTTTTCTCAAAATTTCAAAAAATTAAAAGATGTCACATCGATTTAACTATTTTTTTATACTTTGATAAGTTCATTTATTTAATTATTATAAAAGACATTATTATGAATCTGAAAAAGGAAAAATATATATATTGAATAAAATATTTCAAAAAATAAAGAAAATTAAATAAACAATATATTTACACCAACCTTGCGTGTTTCTTTTGAGGAGCGTCTTCATCTACATATATAACAATTTAAGGAGTATATTTATTTACATGACATGACAATCTATGTTTCTCAAAAGAAGAGAAAAAAGATTATAGGCCTAATATTTTTCATTAGGCCCCTAAAATATTTACTATGGAGTATAAGGGAAGGAGAAGGTACATCATGTTTTTGGGCAATATGAAATTTTTGTTTGAAAAGAAAATAAAGTGAGACTTGAACATTTATTTTAATAAATCACCTACTTTAGGATTAATTTTCATGATGAAAATGGATTTTAGTTTTCATATGTTAGAAACAAAATTATAAATATATTATCAAGCTTTCCAATGGTGCAAAGAACACTTTAAACAGATAACTGTAACAAATGATATGAACTTATGATATTAAATATAAAAACTTCAAAATCTTATATATTTTCTTAAGTTATTTACTTAGATAAGTGTACATACATCTTATTAGCATCTCACTACTTATTTTATTTTTTTAATTATATTTTCACTATTATCTCTTCTAATTATATTTTCATTTTGTATCATATTTTGTTTTTATTTCTCTTTTTTTAACACTTTTTATTACTATTTTTTTCTTTCAAACTTTAGCATTTTCCAGAAGAAATTGAGTTACTACTCATAGATTTAAAATTAAAATTTTGGAAGTCTAATTAAAACGTAGTTGAGGCTCAAATCTACTTATAGATTACTAAGTCTCCAAGTTTATTGGACATGATGAAGAATTAAATTTTGTTGGCTACCGTGGTTCGGCAATTAATGAAGCATACAGTAAAATATGGCAGCAAGTTATATACTTAAAACCAACAAACACATGCATGCATCTTTTTATATGATAGAATATGAATTTTAAAAGATATCATTAAAAAAGAAGCAAAACATCTAGTAACGTAAAAAGAAAAGGAATAGAATTCGAATCAAATCACATGCTATTTTATTAGAACACAAACATTCGCATTTTACATGAGCAAAACAGCCCAAAAAATAATAATAATAGAAAAGCCACTTATTTACATCATAGTGTTATTTAACACACTAACAATGGGGACTGGGGAGGGACCACACCAGATAATGTATTCCAAACATATTCTTTGTACTATTGGAGTACAAAGAATTATTACATTTAATTTTACAACTATTTGAATGAAATTACATTTTATTTTTCTAATAAAAAGAGGGAAAAAGAAAAACTGTTAATTAGTTCTTCACTTCAACTGTTCTCACTAAAAAAATACACACACACACATTAATTTGTAGCTCAACACTGCGAGGAAGGTAGCAGCTGGATCAGGTCTTGGAACTAGAATATGAAGAATTATACAGCTGGTGATACAAGGCAGCCATCCCATATGCTTCCATGTTCACAGACTGCATGAGTTTATCCTTTTTTAGTAATCATTACTTTACATATGATTCATAGAAACATATTACTTACACTAATAAACAAATTTACTCAATGATTACATTCTCATATAATCTAAATAAGAAAATTAAACTACCTTTGTAGTTATCAACGTTTGTGGTTTTTAAATAAGAAGAAAGAAGAGCGTATTTGATATAGTCTTATCCCATATCTCAAACTTTATTAACAATATACCTTTGTAGTTTATAAACTACCTATGATTATAATTTATTAACAATATATCGAAATCAAATTGTTAAGTATATTAAGGTAATTATGTCTATGTATTATGGTTGTATGATTCGAAAAATATGATAAAATGATATAATGTGTCTATCATCAAATTGAAAGTCTTAAAGAGAAACCAAAGGGTCATGATCATTTTAGTAGTCAATTTAAAAAAATAATATGTAACTATACCATGCATGCACTCGTAAGTACTACTAAAAATTGGCATGGAATTAATGCTAAAAACAACAAATAAATAAATAAATAAAATAAAAAAATGTGCAAAGGGGCATCACCTTATCTTGTGCTCCTTGTAACTGATCCCTCATAGACAGGAACGGAGCTGGGTGAAGGAGAGGAGGGATGACAGGAATGTTCATGTTCATGTTGTTCATATTCATAATCACATCCTTATTCATTCCCATTCCAATGCACATATGAGCCATCATCATAGACATTTTAAGTTGTTGTTGCATGGTAATTGTTGGCAGCATCATGGACGAGTACATTTTCATCCAATTCATCATTTCCACTTGTGCTTGCAATTGCTTCATATATTGGATCACCTCATCCAGCATCGAGGCTTTATCCGTCTGCAAAATAAACAAGACATCAAATCAACTCCCACAATTAACGTGCTAAAATTACATACTAATATAATATATTAAGGAAATTAGTCTTGAATAATATTGAATTCAATTTTCTTAAGTAAGATTTGAAATTTAAGTATTATGCAATATTGTTTGAAAGAAAAGACATCACTAATGTTAACCAATCATATATATAAACTTATTTAAACTTACTTTACTCAATAACTCATGTTATATTAAAATTTAACAATATAACTGTAAAATTAAAAGTTCTTGATAAATAAATCAAGCTTAGACAATTTTTAAGAAATGATCCATTGTACATAATCTTAAAATTTTGTAAAATTTGTTTTCATTAAAATTGAGTTTGAAATTAATATATTAATTTATATTAAGAAAATTACCTTCAAAGTAACTTGACAGTAAAATTTAGTAAAAAAAAAACTCTTAATTTAATATGAAAGTTATTTCACTCGTCAAAAAAAATGTGAAAGTTACTTCAAATCATTTTATTTGTTTATTTATACTAAAATTACGTTTGGAAATATCTTCTAGCTTGAAACTTATTCCACATTTCATTGTAAAATGGATAAAAAAAATACAAAAATTCAATAAATGGTTTCAAGTCGGATTTTTGGAGACTCATAAGAAAGAGTAAATAAATAAATAAGGGTATAGTAAAATTACATTTTCAGAGACTCGTAAGAAAATGTAAATCAAACTTAAAAACCAAAATAAATAACTTAAATTGAGAGATTAGAGTAAAGATTTTATAAAGTAAATAAAATAATTGACACTTATAATATAGTCTTGGGGACTAAAATCGAGAGTTTAGGCGTCATTTATATCATCACCATAAAAGTTAGTTCTACAGAGTATCAAAGAAAAACAAAAAAGCTACTGTATATCCTCTAAGTACACTTGTAACATCCAATCCACACATGGTGTCTCCTCATGTTAATAATGTTTTAAATGGACATGAAAGAGCAGGATATGATGTACTCAACGCATGCAATCATTCAAGTTTGATAATTGAACATTTATATGTATAACATAATGTTATGTGCATCTGTCGGGTGCAAGTGCTTACAGTTACAGGATCGTGCAGTACTGCAGTTCTTTGCAGTATTTAAATCTATCAGTCTATAAGAAAAGTTTCATGTTTATAAAAAAAAATTCGTTGTTATAAAATAAAGCATTTTCAAGGCTTACATTCTCCACTATTACTTTGAGTAGAAGATGCTCGACGCTGATTATGGTGGACAAGTTTAGAATAATATTGTTTATTATAAATAAGTGAATTATTATTATTTTTTATTTTTATTTGTATTTTTCTTTAAATTATTTAAAACACTTTTTTTTATTTTAATTTTGTGTCTCTTTTGTGGTTATTGGTGACATCCTAGTGATTGGTGAAGTCAACACTCCTAGTGAGAGGTGACATTGTAAAAAATGAAATGATAGTTGAAGAGGATGAGGTTATTAGTGACAAGATGTTAGAGGTGAAGAAAGGTGGTGGACGAGGATGAGGTTATTAATTAGTGACAAGATCTTAGTGAAGAAAGGTGGTGTGTCATTTTCTTTTTCCATTTGCATCTTCGCAATTTAGAGTTGAAGATTGACGACAGTTCAAATTGGTGTCGAATTTGAATCCATAACTAGTTCAAGTTTAGGGATTTAAGGAAAAAAAAGAGAGGGATCTATGAGAATTAAAAGTGAATTATGGCAATGTCAAGGTTGCGAAGACTCGTCATATTCATAAGCGATATCCATAATTGCTAGAACAAGGAGCAAAAGAGGCTTTGCTTCGACAAGGAACTCAACAACATTTGCTTCAAAAACGAGAAGGTTTGCTTAGGATTTTTCTTTTCCTTTAAGCTTTTCTACTTCAACTATCACTTATTTTTTTTCTTTTCCTTTCAAATTTTTATTATTTTTTTATTATTATTATTTTTTATTTATAATTCTCACGTGTTACAACTTATGTTGATTCGACTTACCATCGAAATGAAAAATGATGTCGTCCAATGATGACAGACCTATGACTTTGCTATGATGTTTCTTCCCAAAGTGGAGTTATTAAAAGTGTTAAATTGAGAAATGAATCTTATGATAGGTTTTTTTTTTAAAAGAATATTTATTATCAAAAAATAAAATTAATATAATAATAAAATTTTATCATTAAATAAACTTAAACCGTTTAATTTTTTTTACAAATATATATATATCTTACAATTTAAAGTAATTTATTCACATACATTCACAAAACATATTTATCAACTTCTTCAGAGTGAATCATTCGAAGTAGAGTTCACAATAGATTTTGCCAGATCCTCACCCAGATGCCCCATCTATTCATCAAAAGTTAAATATTTCATATTTCGAGAAAACCTTGGTTTAGATGAACCTTAAAAATTGGGAAACGGAATTTTATCCCTATATAGAGCCATATGTTCGTTACTTAAAATTATGTAAATATTAACAATGAGATAAATATAATATTGTATATAAAAAGAAAATAGTTTTTATTTTAAAAATCAATTTTATAAGGATAAATTAAGTTTTAATCTATTTTCTTAATATTGCATCAAAATTTATCTTATCTAATATCCATTATTTATTATTGTTGGCTTTATTAATCCATTATTATTATTTTTAATTCATTACATATAGTAAAATACTATTTACTTTTTAATAAAGTTAAAAAAAACTTAAATATATATTATATACAAATCGACTGAGATTGTGATATATGTGTAGATAAGACTGCATGAGAGTAAGGTTACCAAAATTTAAACTTTAGGTTTACTTAAAAAAATATTCTTTAATAGTTTTTATAAATTAAAAAAAAAAAAAACACGTATGTCGAAGAAGAAGAAGAAAAGATTTCGTATGTTGAAAAGTAAAGGGTGATATATATTAGTTGCATTAAAAAAAATCATTCATCAAATTTTATTTTAGCTTGACTTATTATTAGTCGAAGACTAGATAATCATTTTTCTATCACCGTGGCATGGGACCACTGATTGGGCACGTTTCTGACTAGAATTTGTAAAGAAAGGACTAAGAACATTTTTTATACCAAAAACCTGGCTGTAAAAGTTTACAATGTTATATTTTTATTATGAGGAAATTAAGGAAACCAATAGCAGGTATTTTACCTTACTGGAATTTGGGACCAGCTTTTGCAATGCCTTCATTCTTTGGTTGATCTTATCTCTTCTTCTCTGAAAAGCAAAGACAAAGAATCAATGATCTAGATATTCCAGATTTTGACGATAAAATACGTTGAATGATGATGATGCTTGCACAGAAAGAGATCCAAGTCACGTAAACCTAACCCTTTCAGATTGGTTGTGTACAGCTGAAGCTTTGATTCTTTTGTTGGATTCAGAAGATCTATCAACTCTTCTTCTCTTGTAATCTTCATTCCGTGCTTCACTCTAACATAATAAAAACAAATCACCAAATTATAATAGCGTTTTATATCTTCACCAGTTGCTATATGATTCTTTTCAAAAATAAATATTAGAAAATTTTTTAATATTTAAAAAAAAACTAAAGAAATTTAAGATTTAAATACCATTAATTTCATTCATATGCAATTCATTATTATTATTATAATATCTAAATCTTTTGTTGTTTTCCTTCTATCACAAGAACAGTTGTGTGACTTCAATTATTGACATGTCACAAGACCACGTTAAAAGATGCTTATGCGATAACACTTGCAACCACATAATAGCTTTTGCAATGTAAAATAAACAGATCGAACAAAACTGAAAAGTTTGAACTTGACAAATAAATATAGAAACTAGAAATAGCATCATCAGTCTTAAAATATTAACTAATTATTTTTTATTATATAGTTGTAGAAATTGAAATAGTATGATATGATTTTGAAAAATAATCGGTTAAAGAGATTTAATAACCTGTGATCTAAGGTGGCTAATGGAATCGCGGTCGTCGTAGGTGGTGGATGCAGAGTTGAAAGCAGCAGCACTAAGGTCCCTTGGACACGTGTCAGTGGCACTGACACTCCAATCCCTGGTACTACTACTGAAGTCGCGCGTGGTGGGCACACGCGCCACCACAGCCTGCGGCTGTTGCATGAAAGAGGGGACCAAGGCGTCCATAGTAACCAAATTGTGTTGGTTATTATTAACTATGGACTCCAAGGTTCCAGCAGCACCCCCACTTGCACCGGATGTTACGGTACGAGGTTGTCCCTGTATGCATGCTACTTGGCCTTGGTACCCGAACCTGCAAGCGTCAAATTCATGTCAATATAGGAAAGTGAAATTGTTAGAATGATGATGGTAGAGGAGAGATATTTGGTATTTGATATTTGTTTATTACATTGGGACCTCATGGGGAATGAAATTGGAGTTGGGAATTGGAAGAGGGGTTTTTGTGGGTGTGGGAATGTTGACGTTGTTGTGGTCTTCCACATCGCAGCTAGGGACACGTTGGCTCATTTCAGAAATCGATGGTGATCGAGTTCGAGGAAGGGGATGCAGAGAAGTGAGGAAAATGTTCATGTGTTAGGAACTTAGGATGATTGCGAGATACACCAAGTCCAAGCTATTTGTTTCCTTTTGGATATGCAATTATTGGACCTGCTTCGCACCACGTCAAATCTCCATATCATTTCCGATTTTAATTACAATTATCAATCAAGACTTTTTTACTTTCTAAGATCTTCCTCAAAATCATATATCCTTAGCCTGCTAAATTTTTCCATTTTAAATAATTATCTTTAATTAAAATATATTATATTATTTTCTGATTAATTTATAGTATCAAAAAATTATTCAACCTCGTGTGTATGCATTTTTTATATATAAATAATTATATCCGAGTCGAATATGATTATTATAAGCAATAAATTTATTATTTAAGTATTATAATAATAATAATAAATTATTATTGTTATTATTGAGATGAGAGGCTATAGTTTTACCACTTAGAATTTATTTTAATTATTTTTTTTATCAAAACTAATGTGAAAGCTACATTTTACACATCTTTTTCTAAAAATCATTATAAATTATTACTTCCATTTTATTTTATTTGATGTTTAAGGCTGTGACATCTAATTTAAAAAATATAATTAATATACTTCATTTTATAAGATAAATTATGCAACTTTACAATATTTTTTTTATTTTTTATATTTTGCATTTTTATCAATAATTAAATAATATATTAATAATGGTTAATGGAATAATAGAAAAAACATGTTTAATGTTGCAGATATTTTAAAACAACAATTAAATTGAAAAAAAAATACTAAAACATCAACAAAATGAAACAGGTTGAATATATCGAAGGAAAAAGCGTGTAATTATAAAGTATGTGGCTTTGTATATGAAGATACATGTACAAAGATATAGAGAAGAAATATACATGAAGAAACACATTGTAAATTATATTTATGTATAAAATTTATTTTTTCTTGTAAGAAAAAGTTCATTGCGCTATATTGGTTGTATAACGTCATGAGACGAAAATAACATTTGTGTAACCTTTATAAATATTGTTATATAAGGTTGAACCTGGAGAAGCTTATCTATAAAATAATACTTAATTGAGTATATAAAGGCTTGTCTAAAAAAAATACTTTGTTAAACTTGAAGAATCTTGTCCGAAAATGAATATTTGGTTGTTAAGCCTAGAAAGACTTATTGAGAAAAGAATATTTAAATAGTTGCTTAAAGGGACAAATTAAAGAATATTTGAAGTTGAGTCAGAAATGGCTTGTTGACAAAATATAGCATCTTTATTAAAAGATAGTGAAACTCAATTTGCTTAGATTGAGAATTGGGCGTAGTGTCGATTGATGAGATGAACTGTTATAAAAATATCCAATGTTTTGTCTGATTTCTCTTCACACTCTATCTAATTAGTGTTACTGTTTCACTACAAAAAAGTAAAAGTTTTTATACATACTATTTAACCTTCTTCTAGTGTTTATTTTTTATCTACAGTTGATATAGACAATAACGACCAAAGTGACACGTGAATTTTTTTTTTAAATTGGTGGAGTTGTTTTAGTCATCTTGAATGTTGCTATAGTCGATAGCAACTTCAACAATGTCACTATTGATTGTAGTAACATGCTAAACGATGACACGTGTTGATAAAATAATTTTTAACTTTTTTTTATTTTTGGTCACTATAACCTATAGCTACAATTTTTTTTTCTAAAAAAAATTAATGCGAGATGTGTTCCAGCTGCTCACATACGGTCATATTGTGTGACGCTATAGCACATAGCGTTAAGCCATTATAGGTCACAACGATTTTATTTTAAATTAAAAGTCTTATCATTTATTTTTTAAAATAATATTTATTAGATTAATTATTAAAATTATTATTCAGTTATTATTTATATTCTTTATTTGTTATTGTGTGACGCTATAGCACATAGCGTTAAGCCATTATAGGTCACAACGATTTTATTTTAAATTAAAAGTCTTATCATTTATTTTTTAAAATAATATTTATTAGATTAATTATTAAAATTATTATTCAGTTATTATTTATATTCTTTATTTGTTTAAAAAAAAAACCTATTAACTTTTTAAAAAAAATAATATTTATATTTTGTTTTATATTTTTTTTTGTTTCTGATAATAATTTATTGATATTGTTAAAAAATATATTTTTATTTATTTTAAAAAATATTATTTATCATATTAATTTTTAAAATTATTATTTACTTATTTTTTATTTATATTCTTTAAGTTTTTTTTTTAAATAAATATGATAAATTTTTTTAAAAAGAATTATAAAAAAAGTTTTTTCATATATTTTTTTAAATAAATAATATGTATTAGGTTATTTTTTTTAAAATTTTGTTATGTATTTATTTATATTGTTTAAATTTTTTATAACAATAAAATCTTTGTTTGTTTGAAGGTCGGTAAGACTTATATTATCTTTGTTATTATTTTTTTTTCCGGAGGTTGTTATAGTTCTTATCATCATTTTTTTTAAGATCATTATGGTCCATATATATATATATATTTTGAGATTGTTATGATTCACATCAACTTTTTTTTTTGGAGTTTATTATGGTTCATATCATTTTTTCTGGAGGTTATTATGGTCCATATCATCTTTTTATTTTTCCAAAAAAAAAAAAAAAGTAATATGAGTCAAAGCAACCTAAGAAAAAAAGTCATTATGGACGGTAACAATCCGAAAAAAAATGAGCTACCTTATATTACTATAATTTATAACAATTTAAGTTGGATTGCTAGTAACCACAACAATCCTTTCTTCGTGACTCTCATGACTTAAAAATAATTTCCATGGAGATGTTCTTACCAGAATCAGGTCAGTCCTTCAAGTCAGATTTATCATCTTCTCTATCTTGGTCTCTCTAGAGATCATGAGAGATTGGTCTTTGAGATTGGTCTTCGAGATTGGTCTTCGAGATTGGTCGCCCTTCTCCAAGCGTCTCGGATGTACCTGCAAAAAAGGACTCCAACGATCAAGTTAGTTATTTGAGATTGTCCATGAAATGTATATATTTTTACCTGTTATTGTCCGTTTTCCTTCTCTATGTAACCGTCATTATTACCGTTAAATTAACTACTTGATATTGTGATTCAAGCTTGGGCAGGCCGAGTTGGCAGGCCGAGTTGGTTCGAACTCGGTCATCATTTGACCGAGGTTGGTACACAAGCCCCCAAGCTCTGAGCAATAACTGAGAAATGTGACATATATAGTTTTGGAATTTTGATTTTGGAGGTGGTGACAGGAAAAAGACCTGTGGAATACATGGAGGATGATGTGGTTGTTCTTTGTGACAAAGTAAGGAGTGCATTGGATGAAGGCAAAGTGGAGCAATGTGTTGATGAGAAACTTAAGGGTAATTTTGCTGCAGAGGAAGCAATTCCTGTGATAAAATTGGGGTTGGTTTGTGCCTCACAAGTGCCCTCAAACCGTCCAGATATGGCTGAGGTAGTCAACATATTAGAATTGGTCCAATGCCCTTCAGAAGGACAAGAGGAATTACATTGAATTTGAAGTTACCTAAAAAATATCCTTCCTGTTACCTTGAGAGATCAATATAAGCATAAAAACTAACCAACTACCATTGATAAAAAACCACCGTTGATAAAAAAAAACCACCATTGATAAAAAAACCTCCCAACATATATAGGAATAGTTCATAAATATAACAATTGGAAATCACAATGAAGTAAGAAAAACTACCATTAATAAAAAAAAACCACTATGAAAATTATAAAAAATTTGGTCAAAATCTACAGTCATGCAAAATATAAAACCCATTAAATTTAAGATCAAATGGGACATATGAAGCCAAAAATGCAAAAATAAAAAAAAATCACACAAAAACACAACAAAAACAAAAACTGTCGACAGTACTTCAAATTCTAGTTTATAGTATTGAAATAAATAATTAAAATGCAGTCACTTATGTCAAGAAAAAAAAAAAGAAAAAACTTAAAATAATAACAGAAGATTGAGAGAAGAAAGAAAAGTAACTTTCACAAGACCAAAAAGTATTAACCTGGTTCCTCTGCGTATGCAACTTCTTAATCTAATAATCTCCTTCTACGGGCTAGTGTTGAACTTCTATGGTTTTTTTTTATCAACGGTGGTTTTTTATCAATGGTAGTTGGTTAGTTTTTATGCTTATATTGATCTCTCAAGGTAACAGGAAGGATATTTTTTAGGAGGTGAAACAAAATGTGAAACCAAAAATTAAGAGCACAAATGCATCACTTTTACCACGTTATTGTTTTCAATTTTGGTTCCACTTTTTTAAATCATTTTACCCCAACTCAACCTTCTCTAATAAAAAATAACAATACAAGGAATACAAGTAAAAAATTCATACGTTCATTTCTTACTCTATGAATTTCACACTTTATGTAAATGCACTAACCACCCTTTTCTCCTTTGATTTCCTTTTTTTAATTTATCTTTATTTTCTTTGATGGTTGGCATATAATAGGTTTTACTTGAATGGAAGCAAGTAGCAACCCTTTGGAGAAGTTCGTATAATTTAGGCTAACTCTTTGGTCAGTTAATAGAGAGGTACGAATTTTGTTGGTTAACAAATTAACTCAAACTTGGCCAATTTATAAATCAGATACGAAATTGACTCAAACTTGGCCAATTTATAAATGTTGAACTCGATGACGTGAAGAAGAAATTGGCTGAGACTATAAAGGCTTTTGAAATATCCATAAGATCAAATAAATCTTATTCGACCAAGGTGGAAGAATTATTGAGCAAGGTGAAGGTTATGGAAAGAGAAAAAGAAGAAAATGAAAATGAAAAGGCTTGTCAAGAAGTCATAGCTGCTGATGTCGAGCGGGTTACTGAGTTAGACTCTAAGAACAAAAGTTTGAATGAAGAGCTTCAAACTACCAAGTTGCATGTAATATCAGAACTTAGAAAAGGATTTGCCAAAGCATTTCGGCAAACCAGAGTGATTGCTCCTGAGGTTAATCTTCATGAGCTTAATGTCAACAAGGATGTGTTCGATGGTAAACTGGTTAATAAAGATGACTTACCAGAAGATGTCAGTAGTGAAGATTAA